TGGTAATAGCTGCTCAGTCAGAGGAGGAGTTGGAGACGCTGCTGCTGAGACTGGAGCGTGCCACTAAGAGGTGGGGCCTTACCATCAGCCCCACCAAAACTAAGCACCTGCCTGGGTATTTTGTACCATCGGACACTCCACCCCCACAACTCCCAATCGGTGATGGGGCAGTTGTGGAGAGAGTGGAGAGTTTCCCATACCTGGGCAGTGTGCTTATGACTGGCTCCAGTTTAACAGCAGAGGTCTCACTCCGAATCAGTCGAGCGGCAATATCTTTTCATCGGTTGCGTAACGCTGTGTGGAAGCTACCTGGTCTGTCGCTCCGCACTAAGCTTCAGGTCTTCTCGGCCACGGTCATTCCCTCCCTTCTCTACGCTTGCGAAACGTGGACCCCCCTAATGGAACATCTTCGCCGGTTAGAAACATTTAGGCTGGCCTGCCTACGATCCATCCTGGGTTTAACCAGACTGGATTGTGTGAGGAGCTCACAAATCCTTGAAAGATCTGGGCAGGGTCCCATCGGTGAGCTCCTCCGGCAGGCAAGGCTGCGATGGCTGGGTCATGTAGCCCGCATGCCCAGCCACCGCATGCCGAAACAGCTTTTGTTTGGCCGGATTGAGGGGGCTAAGCGGGCGCGGCACGGGCTAGAGAAGAGATGGAGTGATGTGGTACAGGAGGACGTGGAGCTGAGTGGACTTGCCGATGACTGGTACCAGCGGTGTCAAGATCGGCCTCTGTGGAGGAGGCTCGTGAAGGATGCTACTGGGCAGTTGGAGGCAGTCGCCCTCCAACAACAACGGAGGGCGGAGGAGCGACTCTCACAACAGCGAGCGGAGCGCCGGGTGGCTAAAGCACAGCAGGTTGGCACAGTAGGGGGCACAGGTGGTGCATCAGCCAGTCATCTCAGTCAGTCGACCCGTGGCACCTGGGTCTGCCCCGTGACCTCCTGCCAGCGGGCGTTCGACACTTCACGTGGCCTCAGGGTGCACATAGCCTGGCACAAGCGTTGTTGTGACGTCACCGCCACTTAGTGGCGAATGGCGGTTGTTGTTGTTGTTGTGTGTGTGAGTGTGCGAGTGTGAGAGTGTAACTGAATGCGTAGCCGGGTGTAGGCTGCTTCGCACCCGAGGGGTGCTGAGCATTCACCTAAGCGGCTCTCCCGGGACGCTACGAGGATTTGTTGGCTGCAAAACCCGCGGCGCATCGCGCTGCCTGCCTGGCCTGGAGTTACTGCACCTCACTGAGGACTGAGCCGTCGCTGCTGCTGCTGCTGCTGCACCGAGGAATGAGCCGTGGATATCGTGGGAACCCCCTTCGCTCACTTTGGTGACCTTGAAGGAAGATTTCAAACGCAGTGCCGTGTTATTATCCGTTAGTCCAGGCCATATTCAGTGAATTCTATGTCTGGTTTTTCCACGAGTTATCTGCTGTGCACAACCCGCAGAGGCCAAGAGAGCGTCTCCGGGTTCAAGCAGCGTTTAGAGTACAGTATTTAGAGTATTTGGCTGCTATACATTTTCAACATGACGAGCCACTTTGTTGATCTATCATTTGTGATGGGCAGGTCGCTTTGGAAAAATAAGCGAAAAGCTCAGTGGGCATGATACTTTGTAAAATAAAATAATTGTTTAGTTTTATTTGTATTCTCTTTTTCACAATCATGGTGAACGCCAATGGGCATTTGTGTTGCTGTGTGTGCATGCGTGTTGAGTAGCCGTGCGTGTGAATGTGATACAACAACGCATCTGAAGTAAGCGGTGGGTGCGGCTGTGAATAGTCGGCATGGGGATCTGCAGTCTCAGACAAGGTGAGAGTGAGAGACGGCGACATCGCTAGCAGTGGGTGATGGAGGCAGGTCGAGTTGGTGATAGATTCACACTGCTAGCAAAAGGCTCAAAGATTCCAGGAGGCATAACGTGAGTCTGACAAATTTCATATCGGATGCTACAATGACATTCAGGCAACTCGTCACGTTTCGGTAATGACATTGAGATGGAGATACAGGACATCATGAGATATCTACAACTATACCAACCAAATTTCGATTTAAAGCTTTCGTGACTGCAATGATTAATCTTCTTTGGTTCTTTCGGTAAAGTCACGTAGAATGAGAATAAAATAATAAATTGATAAGATAAAATAACAATAATATTCTCACGACGTTTCGGCCACAACACAAGCGGCCTTCATCAGGTGAAGGGACGAGACTGTCTGGTAGGACAGCGCTGGAGTGAAAGAGCCACGTTCAGATCACGACCTTTAAGCTGTGTGAGAGGAAACAAAGCGCCTTGACAAAGGAATTAGCATATAATTTAGCATTGAAATGGCTGAGTAATTAGCTTGTGACTGGTCACAGAAATAGCTATGTTAAAAGTTAAAGCATACACATCCGCAGAGGCACCCCTTGACAAAGGAATTAGCATAGAATTTAGCATTGAAATAGCTAAGATAAAGCATACACATCCGCAGAGGCACCCCTTGACAAAGGAATTAGCATAGAATTTAGCATTGAAATAGCTGAGTGATTAGCTTGTAACTGGTCACAGAAATAGCTACGTTATAGTCAGAGCATACACATTCACCGAGGCACTTAGTACAAATCAAACAGGATAATTTAGCATTGAAATAACTAGGCGAATTTAGCATTGAAATAACTGAGTGTTTAGCTAGTGACTGGTCACAGAAATGACTATATTGAAGTCAAGGCCTACACATCTGAGCTATACACAGTACTATATAGTGAACCAATAAAAAACTAAAATATAAATTACATTAATGTTATCAATAAACTCTATATTCTCCACCAAGCTAAGCTACCAACAATAAGTCGTTATATATCACAATGCTATATGGCGAAAAAATGGGTGGATTCTTACCCTCAACTTTAGCAACACGGATAGCTACGGGCCCCGTTCAGACGGACGAGTTCATCCCTGGTCGGAACAGAGGAGGGGGAGAGAGACAGCTGCGAGGCGCTGTTATACTCCATGTTGTAAACCATACCATTAACCGTGGTGTGAGAGGTATTAAAAGTCAATGCTGGCGAAAGAGCTGCGGTCTGAAGGTCATCGTAAAATACAATTAATTAAGAACAGAAATGGTTTAAAACATCTTTCCAATGGTTTCTAAGCCAGAATCCATCTTCTCGGTTGAAGTTGTCTCTGTGCTTGTATATGTGAATGGCCTCATGAACGAATCTCTCATGGTAGCCGGTTGGTTTGCAAAGAACCTCAGTCTTGGAGAAGTCAATGTCATGTGAGCCCACTGAATTATAACATTGATCTGCCACGGCAGAGGAGTTCGTCCTACCGTGAATAAACACAAGATCCAGGTCCGATTCAACACAGTACATAAAATCCGTGATTTAGTTCCATCTGTAAAAGATGCTGTTCCAGGCATACAGTACCCGGGCGTTTACAAACTAAAGTGCCTCTGTGGTAGTAGCTACATTGGAGAAACCAAACGACATATCTCGGACCGCATCCGCGAACATAAAGCAGACTTGAAACACGGTAGGACGAACTCCTCTGCCGAAGCAGATCACTGTTATAATTCAGTGGGCTCACATGACATTGACTTCTCCAAGACTGAGGTTCTTTGCAAACCAACCGGCTACCATGAGAATTCGTTCATGAGGCCATTCACATATACAAGCACAGAGACAACTTCAACCGAGAAGATGGATTCTGGCTTAGTAACCATTGGAAAGATGTTTTAAACCATTTCTGTTCTTAATTAAGTGCATTTTACGATGACCTTCAGACCGCAGCTCTTTCGCCAGCATTGACTCTTAATACCTCTCACACCACGGTTAATGGTATGGTTTACAACATGGAGTATAACATCGCCTCGCAGCTGTCTCTCTCCCCCTCCTCTGTTCCGACCATGGATGAACTCGTCCGTCTGAACGGGGCCCGTAGCTATCCGTGTTGCTAAAGTTGAGGGTAAGAATCCACCCATTTTTTCGCCATATAGCATTGTGATATATAACGACTTATTGTTGGTAGCTTAGCTGGGTGGAGAATATAGAGTTTATTGATAACATTAAGTTAATTTATATTTTAGTTTTTTAATGGTTCACTATATAGTACTGTGAATAGCTCAGATGTGTAGGCCTTGACTTCAATATAGTCATTTCTGTGACCAGTCACTAGCTAAACACTCAGTTATTTCAATGCTAAATTCGCCTAGTTATTTCAATGCTAAATTCTCCTGTTTGATTTGTACTAAGTGCCTCGGTGAATGCATATGCTCTGACTTTAACATAGCTATTTCTGTGACCAGTTACAAGCTAATCACTCAGCTATTTCAATGCTAAATTCTATGCTAATTCCTTTGTCAAGGGGTGCCTCTGCGGATGTGTATGCTTTAACTTAGCTATTTCAATGCTAAATTCTATGCTAATTCCTTTGTCAAGGGGTGCCTCTGCGGATGTGTATGCTTTAACTTTTAACATAGCTATTTCTGTGACCAGTCACAAGCTAATTACTCAGCCATTTCAATGCTAAATTATATGCTAATTCCTTTGTCAAGGCGCTTTGTTTCCTCTCACACAGCTTAAAGGTCGTGATCTGAACGTGGCTTTTTCACTCCAGCGCTGTCCCACCAGACAGTCTCGTCCCTTCACCTGATGAAGGCCACTTGTGTTGTGGCCGAAACGTCATGAGAATATTATTGTGTTATTTTATTTTATCAATTTATTATTTTATTCTCATTCTACGTGACTTTACCGAAAGAACCAAAGAAGATATACCAACTATTTATTTATATTTTTTTCAGGCAAGACTCACTGAGCTGTGTAGCCCTTTTTCAGAAGCGACCTGGCCACATATGACATCTTATCACGTAGCAATGTATTGCAGCCAATTACTCTAAACACGTGATGTTTATTGTGAATGTTGTCGGAAAAACCAGAGAGAGAGAGAGAAAGACGCAAAGTTTAAATATAAAGCAGGCGTCAGGGTCGGGATCAAACCCACCACCTGTATACCAGGCGAGGGAGGTAACATCTTCCCACCAACTTGCTGTCGAAGGATGAGTTTATCTCTCGACACTCATCTCAAGAAAGAGCGACCGCAGTTGAGCCTCGCTGATGTACATTAACAACAACACTCATTTCTTTAAATGTCAAGGTGTCTTCACTTTAAGACTGCTGTTTGTGCACATCGGGGCACGTGTTCCCATTCCAGGGAGCGTCTCGTGATGTCAGTGACGACAATGAAAATATGTTATGTATTTTACTTCCTTCTTCACTGTCGCTATAAAAGAGAGGTCCTGGTCCAGCGTATATTTGAGCAACGCATCGAGCGATCCCAGCGAAGCCATGAGTCATGGCGAGTGCGACTCTCAGTGAGAGTGTGGATAGTGAGCTGTGCTGCTCCATCTGCCTGGACACGTTCATCTGCCCCTCCACGCTGAGCTGCGGACACTCGTTCTGCCTGCGATGCCTCGAGGCCGCCTGGGAGACGGCGAGCAGCTTCAGCTGCCCGCAGTGCCGAGCGACCTTCGCTGTGCGACCCCAGCTGAGGAGGAACGTGGCCCTCGCCAACCTGGCAGACCAGCTCAGAGTTGGAGACGGGATGGCCGCGGCCGTCGTTTGTGACATCTGCGGTGATGGCCACACTCCTGCAGTGAAGACTTGCCTGAGATGCGAGACGTCCTACTGTGTGTCGCACTTGAAGCCTCACTTGGAGAATCCCAGGTTGAGAGAACACCTCCTGGTGGCTCCCATCGCCAACCTGGAGGAGCGACGGTGCCGGAAGCACAGTGAAGAGCTTAAATTCTACTGCACAGTAGACAGCAGCCTGGTCTGCTCAACTTGCACCATCGCAGGAAAACACAAAGGACACAAGGTCCTGACGCTGAAGAAGGAGCATGAGACACGGAAGGTGAGGCCCTCAGAGTGAGACACCGAAACACGATCTGACCAATTCTGTCACTGGGCTGCGCAACACGTCGTGAAAAAAAAAAATTGTGTGTTCATGCTCTGTTATGATTGCCTGTCCCTGCCTGTATAGCCATCTCTTGCTTGTTGTTTTAGGAAAAAGCCTTAGGATGTATTGAATGCTAGGCTCTCACTAAATATAATTCTCGTGTAAAGGAATTTAGTGGACAAATATCTGACACTGATATCAAAGCTACCTGATAGAAAATTCAAGTTGAGTTATCTTCTAAACTAGACAGCTGTGGGCACATGAGCCTTTGGGACACAAATCCAGCACAGCTACCACCGGCTGCTGCTACAATGAGGCACCAGCTTGCCCACTCCCAGTTCCTCCCGTCTCAGTCGCCATACAAAGGCAGCGTGGAGATGAGGGCTATTGCTGTGAAGGGGTCGGTGTAGAGGGAAGAGCGGTGTGACGGATTGCTCAGGGGGCTGGAGTCTCCCCCTGCTGACGTCTCGTCTCTCACTACAGACAACTGTTGGGGAGGAGACGCGAGCGGTGGAGAAGAAGAGGAAGGAGGCGGAGGAGGCCGTGAAGCGGATGGAGGCAGCTCGCAAAGAGGCGCAGGTACCGTGTCCGGGACTGGCTCTTTGACCCCCGTGACCTCCCCCCATTGTGGAAGTCGTGGAGGTCAAAATGCTTTCAAGCAAACTTCGTGCAGCTTCATAACTTTGATGCCTCTTACTATAATTATATCATTCACTTTTAAACTCATCATTAACTACAAGGGGGTTGCACATCTACTGTATTCAATAGCCGCATCTGCGAGTCTGCCGCAAAGTCGGGTTACTCGGCATCGCGTTTTCCACTGCTGAGGCAAAAGAAAAATGTAGAGAGTGCCACGGATTGTCGGGGTGGAGCTGTGGTGCAGCTGTTGCACTACTACACTGGAGGTCGTGCACCGGTACGGATGGAGAGGCACTAACGCCGCACAGCTACACCTCACGCCGTCCCTGATCGCGTCACCAGCGTTAATTTAAACAACTGTTTTTATTTTACCAGGTAAGACCCCACTGAGCTATGTAGATTTTTTCATAAGCGAGGCTGGCTGTCACAATGATAGCAGGTCAACAAAGTGGTTGACATGATTATCACGTGAAAAAAATATAGCAGCAGACCCAAATACATACATAGATACCCATAGAGATATTTAGGGATACATAGAGATATATAGGGATGCATAGATATATATATGGAGACCCATATATATGAAAATTAACTAATATAGATACACAGAGACCCATAGACTAAACTACTTGTTATTTTACCAGGAGCGGCTCCACTGAGCTATTTAGATCTATGTCAGAAGCTACCTGGCTATTACAAATTATAGCTCAACAAACTGGCTAATTGTAAAGTGGAATTTTATAGCAGCCAAATACTCTAAACGCGCGACGTTGATCCTCAATGTGGAGGCAAAAACCGGAGGACCCAGAGAAAAATCCATATGACTACAGAGAGAACAAATTCCAAATATACAGGAATCAGGGTCAGTATCTAACCCCGACCGGTTGTATACCAGGCAAGAAAGTCAACATATCCTTGCCACCGCGGTACCCACACGCACACATGGAGTGGCTCATGGCTCAGGGAGGCAACCGTGGTCTCTGCGTCTCCACAGGAATCTGTGGACGGGATCAGGAATCGCATCACGGGCAAGTTCGCCCGCCGAAGGAAGGCTCTGGACGAGGACGAGAGGGAGGCTCTACGTCGCGTGGCCGTGAAGGAGCGGGAGCTGCTGTCCCGGATAGACGAGGACATCGCTCGTCACAAGCGGGAGATTGGCGAGCTCCAGGCAGCGGCCGCTCGCCTACGTGCTCTGCAGCATGAGAGGGACTCGCTCGCCTTCCTGCAGGTGGGGAGCGCCTCTGTGGACACGCCGTTTGGGTGTCCAGAGCAACAGAGCGGGCAATGGCAGGGAGGCTCGTGGTGCAAGGGTAGAGACGTCACTCATGATCTCTTTCTCTTCCACAGGGGCACCTGGAGGAGACGCGCAGGTACAAATCCTCAACGTTTCACGGTTTAACACTCACAACACAGGATGTGTGTTAGACATACGGGCTGTGTGTAAGACACACGGGCTCTGTGTGTTAGACACAGGGTGTGTATGAGACGCGGGCGCTCTGTGAGACACTGACTGTGTGTGAGATACTGGCTGTGTGAAAAACTGGCTGTGTATGAGACATGGGCTGTGTGTGAGACACTGACTGTGTGTGAGACACGGGCTGTGTTTGAGACACGGGCTGTGTGTGAGACACGGGCTAGTGTGAGACACGGGCTGTGTGTGAGACACGGTCTGTGTGTGAGACACTGACTGTGTGTGAGACACGGGCTGTGTGTGAGACACGGACTGTGCGTGAGACACGGGCTGTGTGTGGGAAAGGGCGGTCCTGCACAGATGCCATTTTTCCGTCCGTTTGCTACAGCAGAGGTGTAGGAAATTCCAACAAGACCTACATCTCTGCTTTATTGACCTGGTCAAGGCCTATGATACCATCAGTAGGCCTGGGCTCTGGGTTGTTCGTCGTGCCTTCAGAGTCCCTGACTCTTTGCACACGATCATTAAGGACCTTCATGATGTTGAGCAGGCCCGGGTAAAACTACGTGGCCAGGAGTCGGAGTCATTCCCTGTTCACCTTGGTGTGCGACACGGATGTCCTCTGGCTCCCACATTATTTAACATATTTTTTGACCACGTAGTCCGAGATGCCTTTGATGGCTGTACCAGAGGAATTTATATCTGCTACAGATACAATGGGAGGCTGATCGATGCCTGGGTGCGATCAAGGGAAGGCTCCCTATTGGTCAACCATGTTAAGTATGCCGATGATCTGGTAATTGCCGCTCACTTAGAGGAGGAGTTGGAGGTGCTGCTGCTGAACCTGGAAAATGCCACTAAGAGATGGGGCCTTACCATCAGCCCCACCAAAACTAGGCACCTGCCTGGGTATTTTGAACCATCGGGCAACCCACCCACACAACACCCAATCGGTGATGGGGCAGTTGTGGAGAGAGTGGAGAGTTTCCCGTTACCTGGGCAGTGTGCTCATGACTGGTTCCAATTTGACAGCAGAGGTCTCACTCAGAATCAGTCAAGCGACATTATCTTTTCATCGGTTGCGTAACGCTGTTTGGAAGCTACGTGGTCTGTCGCTCCACTCAAAGCTTCAAGTCTTCTCAGCCACGGTCATTCCATCCCTTCTCTACACTTGCGAAACGTGTACCCCCCTAATGGAGCATCTTTGCAGATTGGAAACAATTAGGCTGGCGTGCCTACGATCCATCCTGGTTTAACCAGGCTGGATTGTGTGAGGAGCTCACAAATCCTAGAAAGATCTGGGCAAAGTTCCATCGGTGAACTCTTCCGGCAGGCAAGGTTGCGTTGGCTGGGTCATGTAGCCGGCATGCCCAGTCACCGCATGCCTAAACAGCTTTTGTCTGGCCGGATTGAGGGGGCTGAACAGGCGCGGCACGGGCAAGAAAAGAGATGGAGTGATGTGGTACAGGAGGGTGTGGAGCTGAGTGGACTTGCCGATGACTGGTACCAGCGGTGTCATAATCGGCCTTTGTGGGGGAAGCTCGTGAAGGACGCTGCTGGGCAGTTGGAGGCAGTCGCCCTCCAACAACAACAGAGGGCGGAGGAGCGATGCTCACAACAACGAGCCGAGTGCTGGGTGGCTAAAGCACAGCATGTTGGCACAGTCGGGGGCACTGGTGGTGCATCAGCCACTCATCTCAGTCAATTCAGTCAATCGACCCGTGGCACCTGGGTCTGCCCCGTGACCTCCTGCCAGCGGTCGTTCGACACTTCACGTGGCTTCAAGGTGCACATAGCCTGGCACAAGCGTTGTTGTGACGTCACCACCACTTAGTGGCGAATGGCGGTTGTTGTTGTTGTGTGTGAGACACGTGCTGCGTGTGCTATGGATGCTGAGAGTTCTGATGCTGTAGTTAAACGAGGCTGTGTGTGATGCTGTTGGTGGTTGTCCCAGGAGAGACATCCCAAAGGAATCTGGACCCCCACCTCCCACTTCACTGGATGTCACCAAGATCTGCTTCCTTGAAAGGATCGTGAAAAGATTCCTGCCTATCGCTTGTCAGTTCCTCAGTCTTGCACCCATGTGTCCCGCTGTGTTGCACTGCACTTCTGTGCTCCCCACCTTCATCAACATTTCATTTTATTTTACCAGGTAAGGAACCCACTGAACCACGTCGCTCTTTTTAAAAGAAGCGACCTGACTATCACAAATGACAGCTCTATGAAGTGGCTCATCACGTGGATATTTATAACAGCAGCCAAATCCTCTGAATGCAAATTGATTCTAAACGTGGAGGGAAAAACGCGAGGAGCCAGGGGAAAATACACGCCACCATGGGGAGAGAGACTCAGACTCTGAAAGAGAGCGACATGGATCAGTGGGCTCTACCGAGTTAAATAAAATTAGTTTAAAAGTTTAAATATTCTACTAAACACTACTGCTGTGTACTGGGGCAAGTGCTGTTAACGAGTAGCAACACCTATGAAGGCCAGCACGGCACACGAGGGAGTAGGTGGCCAGCACCACGCCCGGCCGCCTTTGTCTCTCTCGTGCCGAATGTTTATACATCACTCCGGCAGAGGGCAGCGCAGCCTGAACCATTGTTGTACTGGGCCTCTACGCTTCTACGTTCATGATCCCCACCATCGCCAAAGCGCACCGACGAGAGCGGTGAAGTATGGTCAAATAACCCCCCCCCCCAGGACATGCACGGCGCAGGGAAGCGCTCATCCAGCAGCAGAGTGACACACAATGTCTGTGTGTGGGTGTGAGAGCGTGCGAGGCTGTGACACACAATGTCTGTGCGTGGATGTGAGAGTTTGCGAGGCTGTGACACACAATGTCTATGTGTGGATGTGAGAGTGTTCGGGGATGTGACACACAATGTCTGTGTGTGGATGTGAGAGTGTGCGAGGGTGTGACACACAATGTCTGTGTATGGATGTGAGAGTGTGCGAGGCTGTGACACACAATGTCTGTGTGTGGATGTGAGAGTGTGCGAGACTATGACACACAATGTCTGTGCGTGGATGTGAGAGTGTGCGAGGCTGTGGTGGCTGTGGTACAGGCGTCGTGTTTGTAGAGAGACGCTGTGAGTATGGCGTTCAGATACTGGTGCTGGCATCATCACCGCTGTTCACTACCACTGCACACACACACGTGGTAAAATTACTGTAGTAGTATTATTGATATTTATTATTATAATTCACGATTTAGTATTCAAAAGTGATTAGCAGAATGTGTACACTGATACTAACGAATATTAATATATGTACTCGAATGCTACCGAATATTATTATATGTACCCTAATATTGACGAATATTAGTTTGTGTACACTAATACTAACGAATATTAGTATGTTTACACTAATTCTAACGAATATAAGTGTGTGTACACTTATACTAACGAATGTTAGTGTGTGTACACTAATACTAACGAATATTAGTTTGTGTACACTAATACTCACGAATATAAGTGTATGTGCAGTAATACTAAAGAATATTAGTATGTTAACACTAATACTAACTATTATTAGTGTGTGTACACTAATACTAACGAATCTTAGTATGTTTACACTAATACTAATGAATATTAGGTTGTGTACACTAATACTAACGAATCTTCGTATATGAACACTCATACTAACTAATATTAGTGTATGTACACTAATACTAAATAATATTAGTGTGTGTACACTAATACTAACTAATATTAGTATATGTACACTAATACTAACGAATATTAGTTTGTGGACACTAATACTAACTAATATTAGTATGTATACACTAATACTAACTAATATTAGTATGTGTGCACTAATATTAACTGATATTAGTATGTGTACACTAATACTTACTAGTAAGTATGTGTACACTAATACTAATTAATATTAGTATGTGTAAACTAATACTAACTAATATTAGTATGTGTACACTAATACTAACTAATATTAGTATGTTTACACGAATACTAACGAATATTAGTGTGTGTACACTAATACTAACTAATATTAGTAACTTATATTAGTATGTGTACACTAACACTAACTAATATCAGTATGTGTACACTAATACTAACTAATATTAGTATGTGTACACTAATGCTAACTAATATTAGTATGTGTACACGAATACTAACTAATATTAGTATGTGTACACGAATACTAACTAATATTAGTGTGTGTACACTAATACTAACTAATATTAGTGTGTGTACACTAATACGAACTTATATTAGTATGTGTACACTAACACTAACTAATATTAGTATGTGTAAAACTAATACTAACTAATATTAGTATGTGTACACGAATACTAACTAATATTAGTATGTGTACACTAATACTAACTAATATTAGTTTGTGTACACTAATTCTAAAGCATATTATTGTGTACACTAATACTAGCTAATAATAGTATGTGAACACTAATACTAACTAATATTGGTATGTATACACTAATACTAACTAATATTAGTATGTGTACACTAATACTAACTAATAATAGTATGTGAACACTACTACTAACTAATAATAGTATGTGTACACTAATACTAACTAATATTAGTATGTGTAGACTAACACTAACTAATATTAGTTTGTATACACATACTAAGGAATATTAATATGTGTACACTAATACTAACTAATAATAGTATGTGTACACTACTACTAACTAATAATAGAATGTGTACACTAATACTAACTAATATTAGTCTGTGTACACTAATACTAACTAATATTAGTTTGTGTACACATACTAAATAATATTGATATGTGTACACTAATACTAACTAATAATAGTATGTGTACACGAATACTAACTAATAATAGTATGTGTACACTAATACTAACTAATATTAGTATGTGTACATTAATACTAACTAATATTAGTATGTGTACACGAATACTAACGAATATTAGTGTGTGTACACTAATACTAACGAATCTTCATATATGAGCACTCATACTATCTAATAATAGTTTATGTACACCGATACTAAAGAATATCAGTGTGTGTATACTAATACTAATATTAGTATGTGTACACTAACACTAACTAATATTAGTATGTGTACACTAATACTAACTAATATTAGTATGTGTGCACTAATACTAACTAATATTAGTATGTGTACACTAATACTAACTAATAATTGTGTGTACACTAATACTAACTAATATTAGTATGTGTACACTAATACTAACTAATATAAGTATGTGTACACTAATACTAACTAATATTAGTAACTTATATTAGTATGTGTACACTAATACTAACTAATATTAGAATGTGTACACTAATACTAACTTATATTAGTATGTGTACACTAACACTAACTAATATTAGTATGTGTACACTAATCCTAACTAATATTAGTATGTGTACACGAATACTAACTAATATTCGTATGTGTACACTAATACTAACTAATATTAGTTTGTGTACACTGATACTAAGGCATATTATTACGTGTACACTAATACTAACTAATAATAGTATTGTACACTATTACTAACTAATATTAGTATGTATACACTAATGCTAACTAATATTATTATGTGTACACTAATACTAACTAATAATAGTATTTTTTGATTTAAAGCTTTCGTGACTGCAGTAATTCATATTCTTAGTTTTTTCGGTAAAGTCACGTTGAAGAGAAACAACAAAATAACAAAATATATATAAAACAATAAAAAATTCTCACGACGTTTCGACCATAACTCAAACGGTCATCATCAGGTGTGTCGGTTTGCATAAATTTATTTTGAAAACGGCATATTTATTTATATATATATGCCGTTTTCAAAATCAATTTATGCAAACCGACACACCTGATGATGACCGTTTGAGTTATGGTCGAAACGTCGTGAGAATTTTTTATTGTTTTATATATATTTTGTTATTTTGTTGTTTCTCTTCAACGTGACTTTACCGAAAAAACTAAGAATATAATAATAGTATGTATACACTACTACTAACTAATAATAGTATGTGTACACTAATACTAATGTATATCAGTATGTGTACAATAATACTAACGAATATTAGTATATGTACACTAATACTAACTATTATTAGTATGTGTACACTAATACAAACGAATATTAGTATGTGTACACTAATACTAACTAATATTAGTATGTGTACAATAGTACTAACGAATATTAGCATGTGTACACTAATACTAACTAATATTAGTATGTGTACACATATACTAACAAATATTAGTATATGTACACTAATACTAACGAATATTAGTATGTGTACACTTATACTAACGAATATTAGTATGTGACCACTAATACTAACGAATATTTGCATATGTACACTAATACTAACGAATATTAATATGTTTACACTAATACTAACTAATATTAGTTTGTGTACACTAATACTAGCTAATATTAATATGTTTACACTAATACTGACTAATATTAATATGTATACACTAATACTAACTAGTATGTGTACATTAATACCACAGATAATACCACAGATGGACGCTCACCGACTCTGGACACAAACTCAGCCCACGACCACCTCCAGATTTCCTCGGATCTCAGGACGATGACGCGGAGCAGTGTCCCCCAGGGTCGCCCCCATCACCCAAACCGCTTTGATGTCTGGCACCAAGCCCTGTGCTCTGAGAGCTTCTCGTCGGGTCAGCACTACTGGGAGGTGGACGTGGGGAGCGCGGAGGAGTGTCGTGTTGGAGTCGCGTACGAAACGATCCAACGGAGAGGGCGTGGTGCTGAGTGCGGCTTAGGAGGGAGCGACGTCTCCTGGTGTCTACTGAAATATGGTGACAGCTTCTTAGTGCGGCATGGCGGGGTAGAGACCTCACTGTCGGTATCGCAGCTTCCGCGAAGAGTCAGGGTCCACCTGAACTGTGACGCGGGGCTGCTGTCGTTTTACAGTGCCGACTCCATGGCGCCGTTGCACTCGTTTCACCAAACATTCACTCAGCCCCTACACCCTGCGCTGTGGGTGGGGTGGAGGTGGTTGTTGTTGGCCGGTAAAGTTGGTGGCTCAGTGAGGATTGTGGATCTGAGTGGTGCGTCCTGAGAGAGGTGAACGTGAACTGCGCAGAGGGCAGACGCCACGACGCACGGCGCTCGCCACCCTCGTCACCGTCACGCGCAGCGCCACGCCTGTGACTGGTTGGTGGCTGTCGGTGGCTAGGGGCTGCGTGGCTCTCCATAACAACGGGGTGGGGGGGGGGGGGGCTGAGCCTAAACAATCCTCACAACCTTCCTTGGGGGGGGGGGGATAAAACAGGTACCGCTCTGTGTGTGTGTGTGTGGAGGAGTGTAACTGTAGTGTAGGGGTGCAGTGAGTAGCAATGGTGAACTGGGATGTTTATACACTGGTGGTGTCATGGGTTGTGGGAGAGATACAACAATAATAATGTTAAATAAAAAAAAATATAAATGTACGCATACGACCGTGGCATTGTAACGCTTGCATCGTTGATTCTACAATAAAGATAAAGAACATAAAAAACAACAATATATAATAATTTGGGTTTTTCCCCTTTTTTCTGGCAACAAAACTGAAACCTTTTTTTACCAGGATTCATGTCTGCATTAACCACAATACCTGCAGTCAAAATGCAAACAAAAACATATTATGATAATATATGCATTGTCCTTGAAACTGATTGGTCCACACCAAGGGTTGCATTCTTTTGAGCCTTGACCCAATTGGTGCTCGATCAGATGAGGCCAAAAGGCGGACAGCTCAAAGACAATGCATTATCAAATTAATGAGGGCTCGGGGTGAGCATCTACCTCATTAGACCTCCTTTGCCAGTACCAACATATAATAATTGAGGTTTTCCCCTTTTTTCTGGCAACAAAACAAAAAACATACTATGATAATATATGCATTGTCCTTGAAACTGATTGGTCCACACCAAGGAACGGCTTTATTTCGAGCCTCGACCCAGTTGGTGCTCGACCAGATGACGCCAAAAGGCGTACAGCTCAAAGACAATGCACTATCAAAGTAATGAGGGCTCGGGGTGAGCATCTACATCATTAGACCTCCTTTGCCAGTACCAAAATATAATAATAGGGTGTTTCCCCTTTGTTCTGGCAACAAAAACTTAAACCTTTTTACAAGGATTAATGTCTGCATTAACTCAACACTGCCCATAGACTTGACAACACTATCTTCTTTGGTTCTTTCGGTAAAGTCACGTAGAATGAGAATAAAATAATAAATTGATAAAATAAAATAACACAATAAAATTCTCATGACGTTTCGGCCACAACACAAGCGGCCTTCATCAGGTGAAGGGACGAGACTGTCTGGAGGACAGCGCTGGAGCGAACACAGCCAAGCTCAGACCACGACCTATAAGCTGTGTGAGAAGAAACAGAGCGCCTTGACAAAGGAATTAGCATAGAATTTAGCATTGAAATAGCTGTGTGATTAGCTTGTGACTGGTCACAGATATGACTATGTTAAAGTCAAAGCATACACATGCACAGACTCACCCCTTGACAAAGGAATTAGCATAGAATTTAGCATTGAAATAGCTGAGTGATTAGCTTGTGACTGGTCGCAGAAATGGCTATGTTAAAGTCAAAGCATACACATCCACAGAGGAACCTAGTACAAATCAAACAGGAGAATTTAGCATTGAAATAACTGAGGAATTAGCTTGTGACTGGTCATAGAAATAGTTATGTTAAAGTCAAAGTCTACACATCTACAGAGACACCTAGTACAAATTAAACAGCAGAATTTAGCATTGAAATAGCTGTGTGATTAGCTTGTGACTGGTCACAGAAATGGCTATGTTAAAGTCAAAGCCTACACATCCACAGAGGCACCTAGTATAAATCAAACAGGAGAATTTAGCATTGAAATAACTGAAGGATTAGCTTGTGACTGGTCATAGAAATAGCTATGTTAAATTTCGATTTAAAGCTTTCGTGACTTCAATGATTCATCTTCTTTGGTTATTTCGGTAAAGTCACGTAGAATGAGAATAAAATAATAAATTGATAAAATAAAATAACACAATAATATTCTCACGACGTTTCGGCCACAACACAAGCAGCCTTCATCAGGTGAAGGGACGAGATTGTCTGGTAGGACAGCACGTTACCTTTTCCGCTCCTATTTAATTGTATTTTACGATGACCTTCAGACCGCAGCTCTTTCGCTGGCATTGACTCTTAAAACCTCTCACACCACGGTTAATGGTGTGGTTTACAACATGGAGTATAACAGTGCCTCGCAGCTGTCTCTCTCCCCCTCCTCCGTTCCGACCATGGATGAACTCGTCCGTCTGAACGGGGCTCGTAGCTATCCGTAGTGCTAAATTTGAGGGTAAGAATCCACCCATTTTTTCGCCATATAGCATTGTGATATATGACGACTTATTGTTGGTTGCTTAGCTGATTGGAGAATATATAGAGTTTATTGATAACATTGAAGTAATTTATATTTTAGTTTTTTATTGGTTTACTATATAGTATTCATTATATAGTGTAGTGTATACCCAGTTACTGTTAATAGCTCAGCTTATTGAAGAATATATTGAGTACATTTATTATATTGATGTAATTTAGACTTAGCTTTTTTCACATCGGTTTACTATATGATAGTCGAGTTGTTGCAGCCACTTTGGCGTCCATGTACTAGGTGCCTCTGTAGATGTGTAGGCTTTGACTTTAACATAGCTATTTCTATGACCAGTCACAAGCTAATCCTTCAGTTATTTCAATGCTAAATTATCCTGTTTGATTTTTACTAGGTGCCTCTGTAGATGTGTAGGCTTTGACTTTAACACAACCATTTCTGTGACCAGTCACAAGCTAATCACTCAGCTATTTCAATGCTAAATTCTCCTGTTTGATTTGTACTAGGTGCCTCTGTAGATGTGTAGGCTTTGACTTTAACATAACTATTTCTACGACCAGTCACAAGCTACTCCCTCAGTTATTTCAATGCTAAATTCTCCTGTTTGATTTGTACTAGGTGCCTCTGTGGATGTGTATGCTTTGACTTTAACATAGCCATTTCTGTGACCAGTCACAAGCTAATCTCTCAGCTATTTCAATGCTAAATTCTATGCTAATTCCTTTGTCAAGGCGCTCTGTTTCTTCTCACACAGCTTAAAGGTCGCGGTCTGAGCTTGGCTGTGTTTGCTCCAGCGCTGTCCTCCAGACAATCTCGTCCCTTCACCTGATGAAGGCCGCTTGTGTTCTGGCCGAAACGTCGTGAGAATTTTATTGTGTTATCTTATTTTATCAGTTCATTATTTTATTCTCATTCTACGTGACTTTACCGAAAGACTCAAAGAAGATGAATCCTTGCAGTCACGAAAGTTTTAAATCTAAATTTGACAACACTACCCCGTAGACTTAACAACACCACCCTGTAAACTTAACAACTCTACCCCGTAGACTTTACAACATTACCCCTAGACTTAACACCATTACCCATAGACTCAACACTGCTACCCATAGACTCAACACTGCCACCCATAGACTTAACACTGCCACCCATAGACTCAACACTGCTACCCATAGACTCACCACTACCTATAGACTCAACACTACCCATAGATTCAACACTACCCACAGACTCAACACTGCCCATAGACTCAACACTACCCATAGACTCAACACTACCCATAGACTCAACACTGCTACCCAGAGACTCACCACTACCCATAGACTCAACACTACCCATAGATTCAACACTACCCATAGACTCATGGCGTGCTACAAGTTGAAATCATCGTTGTTGCTATAATTCTTGTCAACCCACCCCTGGACTCCTGCACTTTAGTGCAGTTGGCTACATACGGTGCAAAAGAAGTTAAACATACGTACGTACATGGACAGAGGCCACCCTATGCAGCGCTGGTGATGGGAGTTCTTTGACCGTACTCCGCCACGATGGCAAGCGCGGGTTGTGAAGATGGGACGCGTAGACAGACGTTGGGTGCCTATCACAGCTCAGGGACGGCCACGGATGTCGCTGCACTGCCCCCTCCTGCCCACGACGTCGTATCAGCGTCGCGACCGCAGGGAGCGTCAAGGAGGTTGTCACGGACCTGCTCCATGTGGCGCCATCTGGCCATCTCGCAGCCCCTAGCGTGAACCTCGACTTCAAAAGGCCTTGTTACAAGCTGGGTTCATTTGTGCGGTGTTCATCAAGATGGTAGTAAAGCGTGCTCAGTGATTGCATTCCACTGCCATCGCTATGCTCAAGGAGTGTCTCCCCCTCTCCCCAGCTTCGCACCCTCACTCTCCTTCTCCTCCCCCTCCTCCTCCCCAGCCTCCCCCGTCCTCCTTTATATTTTATGACCTACGTAAGTTAACAGGCGGCGATTCTTTTTTTCTTTTCAGGATACCAACAGCCAACTCAAAGGTAACAATAGGATGAGAAGTATTTTGGTTCACAAGACACTGACACGAGGCTCAGAGCATCATTCCACATCAAAGCGCCACGGCGGCTATGAGATGTTAACTACCTCGCCTGTTGTACAGGAGGTCGTGGGTTCGGTCCTGACCCTGATGCCTGCTGTATATTTTGAGTTTCTGTGTCTCTTTCTCCAAGTGGTTAGGTGGAATTTTCTTCGGGTAATCTGGTTTTACCTCCACATTTACAATTATGAGTATTTGGCTGCAATACATTTTTATGTGATAAGCCACTTCATTGACCTGTGGCGATGTGGCTTCTGTGTGAGAACTCTAAAAGAGCTGCATAGCTCCGTAGGACTTGCCTGGCAAATCGCCCAATGCAGCTGCTTGTTGTTGCAGTAACCAGCAAATCGTCACGGAACTCAAATTGTCAACGTTGTAGTGGGTTCACTCTCCAACACACAACTGGTTAGTGCTGAAGCAGTCACTGATTTAGTAATAGGTTTTTACCCTTTTATCTGGCACCAAAATTGACACCTTAATACAAGGGATCATGTTTGCAATAACCACAACACAAGCAGTCAAAATACAAACAAAAAGAAACAACTCTGATAATGATATGCACTGTCCTTGAAATTTATTGGTCCACACCCGAGACGGCTTTTCTTAGAGCCTAGTCTCCACTCATGTTGGACCAGAAGACGCCAAAAGGCGTAAAACTCAAAAACAGCGCACTATCAGAGTATTGAGAGCTTGGGCTAAGCATTTACACTATGAGACCTCCT